GACTTGAGAAAGCACTATGTAAGTACAGGCCACTTATATTTTTTACCATAAAACAAAGTTACTTTGGAAATGTATGTTTTTTTTTAATATTCTGATAATTAATCATATGAAAAAATTGTAAATTAACGCTTTCCTTATTTATATTTCCTTTAGATTCTCATGTAGGCCTACTTTATGAGTAACTAAAATACACAAAAGAGAAAATGCAAGTAAAAGATAACTTTCCTATATTTTACATGCGTTTTATTGCTTAGTAAGATCAGTCTGTAGGTTTTGCTTTTTTATTTGTAAGAAATTATATATTAATAGCTAAAAAAAGGGAAGTTGTAACAACAAAATGTCAAAAGCTCAGCCTTTTCTGTTTGACTTAATAAAAAATAGAAAACTAAAAGTGCATGGATGATGCTTTTTACTTTATTTTGAGTAAACAGTTCAGAAAAATAAAGATTTACATCTAATTATCTATCTATGGAAGAGGATTAGGGCCACTGAAATAAATTTAAAAAGTTAATGATTTTTAAATTTTATTTTTGTATAATATAAGAAAAAAGTCAATCTCAAAATTCAGACTAATCTCAAAATTCTGACTTCTTTCTCAGAATCTCAGAATTAAGACTTTGATCTCAGAATTTTGATTTTGGATCTTAATGTAGATGGGCACCATGAAGGAAGAGATGTGGAGCACTCAGCTTCACTGACAAAGATGTGAGTTGTTTGTGAGAGCCAGTGACACATTAGTGGTAATTGATGGAATTAGTCGACTTTTTACATCAATAGCAAGTAGCATCACTGGGTCCCAAGTGATGCTACTTGCTATTGCTATTATTTGCTATTATTTAATTAATGGAAGAGCAGAAGGTGATTAAAACAAGAAAGCTAGTCTCTAAAACAGACATGGCTACAGCTTGTTGCTAACATGTCTGGTAGCTGTCAGAATTCAGTCAGAATTCTGAGATTAAAGTCAGAATTCTGAATACTTTTTTCTTATATTATACAGAAATAATCTTTATTTTTCTGCACTGTTTACTCAAAATAAAGTAGAATAAGTGAAAAGCATTATCCATGCACTTTTAGTTTTCTATTTTTTATTAAGTCAAACAGAAAAGGCTGAGCTTTTGACATTTTGTTGTTACAACTTCCCTTTTTTTAGCTATTAATATATAATTTCTTACAAATAAAAAAGCAAAACCTACAGACTGATCTTACTAAGCAATAAAACGCATGTAAAATATAGGAAAGTTATCTTTTACTTGCATTTTCTCTTTTGTGTATTTTAGTTACTCATAAAGTAGGCCTACATGAGAATCTAAAGGAAATATAAGCGTTAATTTCCAATTTTCCTTATGATTACTTGATTAATCATCAGAATAGAGATTAAAGTCAGAATTCTGAGAAAAAAGTCAAAGTTCTGAGAAAAAAAGTCAGAATTCAGATTTTTTCCCCCCCATATTAAACTGAAATAATATTCAAAAATCTGTTAACTTTTTTCAGCGGCCCTAATCTATCTATCTATCTATCTATCTATCTATCTATCTATCTATCTATCTATCTATCTATCTATCTATCTATCTATCTATCTATCTATC